CGGCTAGCGCAGATAGCCCTCGTGTAGCTTTGCGTGAAATTCAAAAACAAAAAACAAACTGTCAGTTGAAACTAATTATCAAAGTATCGTATTATCTTTATCATATGTTTGATTTGGAATAGACAGTTTCTCTGTTAGTTGAAACTAATTATCAAAGTATCGTATTATCTTCATAATATCCTTATAATGGAGCAAATAGTTTTCTCAAATAATCGTATTATTTTTGTTATTCATCAATAAGTCGTTTATAGTCTAGATCTACAAAAAACGAAAGCTCCAAAGATAGACACAAACGTCAACCCCTCAAGCACCTTTAGCTATAGACACGAAGCAGCCTTATATGTAACATACTGAGATTTAAGTAGACTTACTTGCAAATATACTGTTATACAAAACTCGAAATACACACCACAAATATGATGCTTATAAATATTATGAAGTAAAAAATCAAACATCTTATTCTCAAAATAATAATAATAACAGATGACATGGTATCCATTAACTCAATAGAAATTATACGGGATGTCATTCTAGAAATATTAATTGTCTGAAACAAAGATCTGTTTTATTAATAAATAAATGAAAATGCAATTTGTTATTCTACTTTCTTGATTTCTTCGAATAAGCATCATGAACAGGAAACAATTCACGCGTGTATGTATATGTGTCTGTACAGTATATATATATTCAAATGATCATTCGCCTCGTAGTACTGACTGACAAATTGTTGTTTTTCGGATTAAAATTGGGTGCTCTGCTGCGCTTGTGAAAGTGTTGTCATGTTTCTAACAAACAACAACACTTTAAAGTTCAATTGATATGCATTCTGGGAGATGTGTTTTGAACTGGAGAACGTTTCTCTGGGCTTGCATTGCTTCAAGACTCCCACAGCAGTACTGATCCTCGACGCGCAAGTACTCAGAGTTCTTATTCAATGAATGATATCAATTAACTTAATCCACTGATGTTGCCCGGAGTAAAGGTAATCGAAAAAGACCACCAATAAAGAAATGTGTTGATAACATAGGCCTGCGAATTTAAACTTCATAAAAGTTGTTTTGGTTTTGATAATGGATTTTCCATAATTCAGCTATGCAGATTTCGAAAATAAGATTAATTTTTTCTATCACGTAAGGATTTTTTTTACAAATCGAGAAGAAAGAAAACCTCTTACTTAGATCAAATTATTATTTCATTTCCCACAATGAACATTTTTTATTATTATGTTTGTTAACAAAAATACAAACAAATTGAAGAAAAGGGAAGAACACTGATGTCAAACGAATATGCATCCCGCTTTTTAAAAATGTCTTTTAGTTTCAAAACTACGCGTTGTGGTCTTTCTTTTATGTATTCCATTATAACGTTTTGAGAAAAATCTGTACGCGATGGAGAAAAATGGATATCATTTTCGGATTCAGAGTACAGGAATTGCTGTAGAACATGTAAAAGTTTCAAGACAATAAAACTATCGCAGGCCCGTGTAATCGCAGCTAGGTGATAATAAAC